AACCCCCCTTTGAAAAATCCTGGATCCGCCACTGGGACATTAAGAACAAATGAAAATACCTCTACAAATATTAGTTTGGTTCATGCTCGAGTGAATTCAACAACTAAAGATCTGATAACTTAATACTAGGTGCTATATACCGAGTAATTTATTTATTGATTCACAGATACCGGTATATGCCGTTCACTCTAAGGCTCAGGTCAAATGTCAAACTTTACGTGAGCCAAACCTAACTGAAACAATGGATAACAAGGGGGACGTCTTTGATGTCATTAGGTTCGGCTCATGTGATGTTCGACATTCGACACGAGTCTTACACAGGGCATCATTTTGAAACATTTCTTTTTCTTTTTAAAATGTATTGTATAAATTACCTTTTCTGCAATTCCTTTTATATTTTAAAAGATATCTATACAGTGTGTGCAACCATGTGACTGAAAATCCTTGGAGATATAAATAACAATGAAACAGCTGTCATGTTTGTTGATCAAGCATGAGAAGCTAATAATGGCTTGATGACGTAACATGATACCAATGATGCACATGCTCTATTGCAGTCTTTAAATTAAAATGTACAGTTTCAAATAGGTAATGCAATACCTCTTCTAGTAGAGGATTGAATTTGGAGAGGGTTGACTACTCTAGTTTAAAATAAAATACTTATTTATGACACAAATGTGTTCATAAAGTTTGGCCAGCAAATTCAYGATATTGTCTGAGAAATCAAGCCTCAAAGTTTAAATAATACTGTCAGTGCAGAAATAAGTAGCTGTTGCTTTTTTATGACGCCATGGAGTGGAATAGACCCCTTTCGAATTTGAAATTACTGCTGTGTTTCTTGACTACAGACTCATTTTGCACAGGTTTAGCCTCGTATCAGTGTTTAAATATTGACAAATACCAACGGTAAAGTAAAGAATGCACAACTTCAACAATACAAACATTTTGAAACTTGATGGACCTTGACTGGAACACATGAATATTCTTCACAAACTCGAGACTACCCTGTGCAAATGAGTCTGTAATCAAGAAACACAGCGGTAATTTCGAATTCGAAAGGGGTCTATTGTCCCAGGGGTGGAGTACCCCTTAAGGACAAAATGAAACGAAAAATCACCAGAACTCATCATCGGATTCATCATAATCATCACTATCATTCAGAGAGTATTCCTCTACATCCCATTCATCCCAGTCTATCTCACTCAAAACGTGCAGAATCTTTTCCCTCAAAAGAACAACCTCTAAATGTGTAATTAACTCCAGCGGCAGTCCCTGTGATCGAATCAGATTACTGACATTGAATGACGACATGGATGAAAATTCCAGATTTGGGAACTTGTGCTCGATGGCTGTTCTAGCTGCTAGTTGAGTCAGGGGGGCACTGCCCTGCCCAAATAACAATTGTATCAAATTAACTCCCTTGTGAAGAAGGTTTTGTTGTAAGATCTTGCTGCCATTGTCGTCCACGGCATATTCTAAGACTTCTTTTAAAATCTCTGGTGTGGAGAAAAATCCTTCATCGACCAGTGTAGCAACAGCTTGAAGGTTTGCCTTGATGTCCTTGCGATCTAGCGCTGTCCAGGGAATCAAGGATGCAAGCAGTGGAGAAATATAACTATTATCAATAAAAAACACGATAGATTAGTTTTGAGAGAAATAAAAAATATATTTTACTTTTTAAGCAATCAGACCCTCCCCACCCCTTTGAAATTCCAATCCCCCTCTGTGGGGAAGGTATGGATATTTTCTGGTACTACGCAATATACMCYCCTCAGACCCTCCCCACCCCTTGGAAATTCCAATCCCCCTCTGTGGGGGAGGTGTGGATATTTTCTGGAACTACACAATATACCCTCCTCAGACCCTCCCTACCCCTTGGAAATTCGAATCCACCTCTGTGGGGGAGGTGTGGATATTTTCTGAAACTACACAATATACCCTCCTCAGACCCTCACCACCCCTTGGAAATTCCAATCCCCCTCTGTGGGTGAGGTATGGATATTTTCTGAAACTACACAATAACCAACACCTAATATTACGACTCACAGTTGATATTATAATTCTCACCATTCAATATTCATAATTATCATATTACTCTACCTTCCATCAGGTCCCATTCCTCTCATATTTGGATTCGCTCCTCGTTCCAGCAAAATTTTAGCCACATGAAAGTTGCCTGACTGCATGGCATAGAAGAGGGCAGTTCTACCATGTACTCCACAGCTATTAATCTAGGGAAAAAACAAACTTACTACTCAAACATTTCTAATTACTATCGTTATAGTTAGTAAAACTATTAAGAAATATGTATTGCATGTGACATCGAACAGGGGTGGATCCAGGAATTTTTTCAGGGAGGGGTGCAAAGTTAACCCAGAGAGGGGTGCACCCCTTATAATCGAAGGGAAAAAACATTATTTTGCATTGGTCATCTTCGAAGTAGCGGAACTGAGTTGAACCAGGGAGGGGTGCGCACCCCTTGCACCCCTCCCTTGGATCCGCCACTGTCGAAGCAGCTAGCTCAATTTGGAGGACAAAACAATTTCAATTGCCTGAGAATTGGAAACTTATCGTTATGTCCTACAAATTCAGCAGCATTATTTCCTAAGAGGTTTATTGAAGGTGCGTAGCGGTAGCGCACTTGTCTCTGACCTCTGGGGTGTTGGTAAGGTATGTTTATAGGTCTCTCTATTGTTTTGATGGTTTTCCTCCCTCAAAAAACCTAACATGCTAAATTCCAATCCAACACACGTATGTGAGCTTCCTCAGGAACCAGGGGTAAAATTCTGTTGCAGGTTTAGTTAATACCAGAAGTTATTTCAGGGTTCTACAACATCCAAGGTTCCTTTTACCTTAAGGTTATCAAATCTAAGAAGATAAAAGATTGCTCTAGAAACGTCATATCCACTGGCGGCTGGTCCATATTCTTCATAATATCTCCATGGCATAGGGTTGCATACTGCCATTAAGGGTGTATTACCACAGCGATCAGCAGCATTGACATTTGCACCATTATCACACAGAATTTCTGCCAGGCGTAGGTCAGCTGACCTAATCAAAGTGTTGTGTAAAGGGGTCTTGTTCTCAGCATCACGAACATTTACCTCGGCACCATGACCAAGTAACATCCACACCAGACTTATTAGGTCATCAATTAGGTCTCTTACACTGGTACACCTCTGGCCGTTCATCAGGACTGCAGGAAAGGATGGAGCTATGTCTGTTGGCGTACTTCCTAGGTCATAGGCTGTCACAGTATTGTACAAGTCTACTACACATTCAATGGGACTTCTACCTGGGCCAATGTACTCTGCACCTATACTCTAGTTAAACAAACAAATACATGATATATTATTAATATATTGATATTATTATTATATTAACCTTAATTTATTTTCAAGGTATTGGATCCCAGATAATGTTTTTCTAACAATAGCAATTTTTCTCAGTTATTTCAAATAGATATCTCAAAGTCCTGTGGGATCGATTTGCAGACAAACTTAGTAAACAAAGACTTTGGTTACAATAGGAAAAGATGATTAATATCAGTCGTAAACCATAGTTTTTCTACRCATTGAAAATGAGACAAAAGAACATTGTTACGGCATATTAACATGTGAGCTTGGCTTGGCTTAATGTCCACATTTCAATCCAACGATGCACAATTTGTAACATCATCCATGGAAAATGCTATTTACCAACATCTATTGTTGTGAGAAATAGGTTGGCATTGCATGGTGCAATAACAGACAAGCGCACACACAGTCTTTTCTAAAACCCTCCCCTCCCTCATTCACTGATAATAGTTTACTATAATGTTTATTTTTTAAATCTAAACTCCCCCCACTACTATACGAAAGTAGAAACCCTGAATATGACAACAAACTCAGGAAGAACTTGGACCTTGAGTGAAATTGCATACCCTGTTTATGACAAGAAGCTCGAGAAACCATACCCTGTTCAGCGGATCATCCCTGTATAGTCCATATATGGGAGTACCCCCCCCCCCCGGGGATTTTGGCATGGGACTTCAGAGATACACCTATTGACATCCTAAAAATTTTTTAATGTTTTTACAACCAGAATATTAACTCTTCAATGTGAGTGATAACTAACTATAATTATAAAATTCAATGAATTCTTCATCACCATAGACATCATAATAGACATTGTTAAGCAGTATTAGTCTATCAACAATAGTATATTGTTAATATCAAGCAAATTTCAAGGATAATTAGCATCAAGTTTATCAACCCCTTAAACAACATCTGGTCTGATCAAAGTCAAAGTACACTGAATAAACTGCACTACGAGGGATGAAAACTGGAGAGAAACCTTGAATCAAGTGAGGGACCCAAGAAATGCCACTCACATACAATGCAGAGTGAAGGAATTCAACCCAAGACCCCAGATGGAAGGGGTAATTGCATTACTCCACACCAACCTTGATTCCTAAAATTATAATAATATTCCAGTATATATATCTCAAAGCTATGGAATAGACAAAACCAAGTAAATCTTGGTTCGAAAACACATATTAGAGCCAAAACAATACAGCTCTTTGAAGCATTGTGTCCTACGTCATTGTCATGTAAAATCACCACGGTTATTAATTGTCCACTACGTTATGAATGGAATCGTCTCAACCATATAAACTCTATTGTCTCTATTTACTCTGTACATTAATTACTTTGGCTTACTTAAATTACTTAACTTTTAAAATTTAAATTTACCTCTGGAATTCGAAGTATAGGATTTGCACCTGGAAATCAAAATAATGACATGAAAAAATAATAAAGATAATAAATTATCATAAATAAGTAAATGAATTTATATTTTTACAAAACATGTATATAAACTTACGTTCTTAGATTTTTTTGGAGTCAATCATATTGTTAAATATTTCGTAGATAATATTTCATTTAAGATAATTCATTTAATACGGAAACTTTATATAAAGGAATGAAAGGTTTGATCGAGGATTTTGATAAAGTTTTAGGAGAAATCTTAAATACTAGTAAAGTTTGTTTTTTTAAGTAATTCAAAAAACGTCAAAGATTCAAAACCAAAATATAACTCTCAAATCAAAAATCAGACAAACTAACTCAAAAGACGACCCTCTAGACTTATTTCAACCCTTCAGCTTAAGTTCAGAAGTCTTTCTTTACTTCTCAACTCTTTATTTTTGAAGTTTAAACAGCATTACAGTTTCTACCTCTTTCGATGAGTCTTCTCGCGATGTCCAAGTGAACAGGCATCACTTTACCATAACACGTCTTTTCACCGGATAAAACAATGTATAGCGGGATTCTTCGGTAATAACCTTCATCGAAACAGCCTCCGTAACGATTGTTTATGAAGTCTAGGGCTTCTTGGAAGTTTTTGTTTTCTAGGGCTTGAGTTAGCGGTGTTTGACTGAAGCCAAGTACGACGTTGAACTGAGCTGGAGCGACCGCCATCTTTGTTTTGGTTTTGTGACAGGAACATAATAACCAGTACCCCCTCGGGGAGGCTTTTTGCACATCAGTGTTATCCGTCTTCCTTCCTTTCTTTCTTCCTTTCTTTTTTCATTCCTTTTTTTTTTCTTTTTTCTTTTTCTCTCTTTCTCATTTTCATTTTATTTCATTTCCTTCTTTTCTTTCTTTGTCATATGATTATTCTATTTATTTATTTTTAGCATATTTGACTAAGAAATATTCTCTTATTCTCTCTACTTCATTATATACACACCGAACGCATAATTTATTACTACTACTTTACTTACTTATCTTGGTTTTCTTTCCTCTTAAAAAATACTTTTCATTTTCATTTTATTCTTTCTTTTCTTTTTTCCCGCCCCTTTACCAAAGGTATCCCATACCCTTCCGATCTATTAACGATAGCCTTCCGATTTCTCCCGAACTCCTCGACACCTTTCTGACTATTAGTTTCGATTCGAATTCTGATCAAAACACATTCCTGAAGACAAGGTGATCCAGAGATTCTCTTAAATATATTAAAGAATACCAGAATTTTAGAAATCTTCCATCTACGTACATCAAAAGAACGATTATGGCCTAAAAGGTATGCAGTAATCTTGCAAGCGTCAAGTCGTTTCCAAGGTTTCGAGGTTTGAGTGTAAATAAAAATCTAAAATCTAATCGAAAAGATTATAAGCATCTATGCCAGTGTAATAGTGTCAGAAAATACGATATATCAATGTCGGTTAGATCTTAAATTATTGCTCGCAACTCTAGAATGAATTTTCTGAAAATGTTCAAAATATGAAGTTATGCTCTTGTTAGATTTTTTTAGATTAGTTTTTAATGTATTTATTCATCTTATTTTCTTGAATATCATAGCATGTACTATCTTAAATTCGAGTGTGAAATAAAGCTTGTAGTATTGTATTGTATTGTAACCTATTTTGATAGAATTTGAACATCACCATGGATGACAGTGGTTCTAGTACAGGAGAGAAAGTCAATTTTCATTGCGTTGTCAAGTATTTTATTTTCACCATAAATGTTTTGGTCTGGGTGAGTAAACTCCTATATTATCTATGTTATTTGTTTCTATACGCTTTACAGCCATCCTCAATCGTATTCTCTAATAGTGATTTTTTCTGTCGCAACGAAGAAGGTTTTGGTGGACGTCAATCACAAGGCGTTTCCATAACATTGTTGGGAAACACAAGCTATAAGGGCACTTGCCTATATAATGTCATGGAAACGCCTTGATTGGCATCCACCAAAATCTACTTCCTCATGACAAAAACAATTGCTAGAGGGCGAATGGGGTTCATATTTATATTTTTGTAAACATTTGGGAAAAATGGGATTTGATGGAAATGTGATTGAAGTCAATGGGAATGGGAAATAGAACTGCAAAAGAGAAAAATGGGATTCATTTTTCAGGAGGTGTGTTCGGCATCCCCATGGGGAGAGGGGGGTTCCAGGCATAATCTTATCTGATGCAAATAGGGGAAGGGAGGGAGGAAGCTCTGGCCACCATTTTCCAACTACAGTCTGATGCTAAGGTTTCAGAAACTGACACCCTCGCCTCCCCTCCTCTACTCCTCTCATAGTGTTTGCTGTTTTCATTGTCAGGTTGTATCCATTGTGTTCATTGGTGCTGGTTCATGGGCACATAGTGAAAAAGACAAGTACAACACACTAAACAGTCTTTCTTTTGACCCTTCTGTCTTGCTGATCGTCACTGGAGTCTTCTTGTTCATCATTGCTTTTTGCGGTTGCATTGGTGCCTTAAGAGAGAACAAGATTCTTCTAAAAATAGTAAGTAAAAAATAGTGATTTAAAAGAATATTTAGGTGGTGTGCTTCGCTAATGTGCTACCTCTCACTGGGAAGGTCATAATTTTGGTCCGTGGACCAACCATTGCATGTAAGTAGTTGCTTGTTTGTTCTCTTTTGTACTTTAAGGGTTTTACTCATTGTTCCCTCTCTCCACAAAAATTGACTTCAAAATTCCCATTCAATCTATAGTGTCACACACTTTATTAGTCTGTCATCTCTGGCTCGATCAATATTGAGACTGATCAATCTCTCCTACATATATTATTGATTAAAAAAAGATTATATTTAGTAGCATTTAAAGTTATTTGGATCAATGCATCCAAACCCCCTCCTCTCCAAAGTCATTCACCTTAACACGTCCTGCTCCTACCCAATAAGCTGCTGGCCAAACTCTAAATGATAGAGCATTAAATTTTAATTTGGACATATGGTTATGTTTTTTTTTCAGTATATGGTTGTTCTGATCATTCTTTTTACTCTTGAAATCATCACTGGATTTTTGGCATTCTTTTTTGTTGAACAGGTAATATCAGTCAATACCTCCACCACAGAGGGGGATTGGAATTTCAAAGGAGTGGGGAGGGTCTGATGGCTTCAACAGTAAAAAATGCAAGTGTAACCTGAATTTTTTTCCACAGACAAGAGCTAAAGTTGCCACAACAGTCAAGCACTTTGTGATTCATTATCGAGATGATCCAGATTTACAAAATGCAATCGATGGAATACAGAGTGGTCTCAAGTGCTGCGGAGGATACTCTTACCATGACTGGGACCACAATGAATACTTCAACTGCTCTGCGATAAATTCAATGGAAGCTTGTGGTGTTCCATTCTCTTGCTGTATCACGGTGAATAGACATTTCTATGGAGACATTTCTTCTGGAGCAGCCACAACATACAGTTTCTCTAAGTTGAGGCTGCAGTGGATGTGTTCAAACATTTATTGGTTTGGCAAATCCAGCCTCAACAAGGGATTTTTGAGTCATGTGGTTCACTCCAAGAATGCTGGAGGATTTTATATTCTACGACATTAAACCTAGCACTTAACCTTAGCTTGGGCATATCATGTTTTCTCATTTCAGACTACGGGTCATTCCCTAGAGTATCATTTCTTTGTTTAATGGTTGTGCATTAGAAGACACGCAAATATCGATACAACTTGACTAAAAATGAGCGTTGCATGATGACACAACATATATAGGAGACTACTAATAATCTTATTCTCAAGAAAATGACATGCATTCTGAAATGGGAAAGCATTACGCCCAAGGTAGCTTAGAGTTAACTCACAGTATCCTTTATATTTATTTATTTAGGACAAGATCAATACACAATGCGGATTTGGTGTTCGAAGACAAAAAACAGTAAGTAAATATCTACATCATTATATCATATAAACTATGGTCCAAATAAGGATGAAAATTAATTGGCCAAAATTATTTAATATGTGCCGCAGAGCTTAAACCAGTTAATACAATAAATGCATTTCATGATGTAAAGGAATTTGAAATCTCATTTCAAAGGAATCAGAGGCCAGCAGTGTTATCTACATCACAGGATGTGTGGACAGTCTGTCTAACTGGATGATTAATAACTTGCACGTCATTGGTGGAGTTGCATTTGGTTTTGCTTTGATACAAGTAAGTACAGTGAAAATACAACTATGATATAACGTACACAGAGTATGATGCATGCTCTGATTGCTTAAAGAAAGGGTTGATTCCAAAACAACAAAAAAATCTTTTTCTGCAATCACCTATCTTACCATGATTCCTGTTTCAATGGAATCAAAGTTTCAGCTCTCACATCAGTGGTTTAATCTTCGATCGTTTAATGTTCAATCATTAGATTTGGTAACACATTTGGGTAGAATTTGTTAGCTGGGCCCATTCCTTGATTTGAGGGTTTTTCTCCAGTTTTTCTCCCTTTGTAAAGCCTTGAGTGCCAAATTGCAATTCAATTGGGATAAAAGTTAAAGGGTTTTTAAACTGTTTTTCTATTTCCATCCTCAGCTGCTTGGAATCCTAGGAGCAAGTAATTTGATCAAGGATATTGATAAAATCATCGCTACAAACAACAAGCTTTACTCAGATGCTCATTACGCCTATTAAATAGCCAACTTATGAAATAAGCTCCTGTTGAGACACAAAGGTTTCAATGCAAGGCTTCGTGGATAATGCTCAGTGATTCATGAAAGGAGAAAAGAATACATTTGTATATAAGCCTTATATGGAAACCTTTGTGACAAGCAAAGCATAACTCAGAAGTGGACTATTGCATGGGCACTTGTGCATAATGCTTGGATTTTTTCTTATTTGCTGTTTTTTTCGTTAGTGCATGGTTTATTTATTTTCAACAATAATTAATTAGAGACCTCTTTACCCATTTCAGACCATGTGTCATTCCCTAGAGTTTCATTTCTTTGTTTAACTGTTGTGCATGAAAAGACACATGAATATGGATACAGCTCAAACAAACAATCCTATTCTCAAGAGAGTGACACATGGCCGGAAATGGGCAAACATCATAGCTAGAGGTTTATTGATGCAATAGACTATTTCGACGATACAGTACACAGTAATGACATCAATTGATATTCAACACAAGACAATACAATAAAAGATAAATTAAGATGGCATCTCGATCACCTTTACGCATAAATGAAAGACAAACACACAATCTCTATGTATTATCCAACATGTGTTTTGTTTTGCCCCATGGCAAAATGGCCGCCGTATCCACAAAGCAGACCATTGGAAATGCTAATACTCCATTTTACAGTTCCGTTCAGTGACCACGAATAATAGTTCCTAGCCTCGGCTGGAGTTACTGCGCATGATAAACTGTAATTTTGCTATGCGCAGAAACTCCAGCCTCGGCTAGGAACTATTATTCGTGGTCACTGAACACAACTGTAAAATGGAGTATTGATGTCTCCAATACAACAGGTAGCCCAACTCACATTTGGACCAGAAAATATTTTGTAAATATACAATGGGATATTAAATAAACAAAACAAATTCAATCTATGCTGATATTTTTATTATTTTTGGCATCTACTTAATATAAGTTAATAATAAATCGGGGTTGTAGATACACAGACCAACCCGGATACAAAGTCTACTTTATTTATAAACTGTGATCTAGACAACTCAAAAATAAACATATCTAATAATATAATGATCTTCCTGTGTTTAACTAGCCTGCAAAGCTTCTTCAAGCATACCTGAGCTGTTTGAGGCATGTTTGCAAAAGTGAAGACCAAGTACTTAATTCTGATCAATAAATAGGAAAATAGGACAACACTACAAACTGATGCCCAGAGCTAAAAATAAATTGCTGTGCACTTATCAACATGTGACCAGTCAATGTGGTCAATATTATGGGCCACCACTGTGCATTGTGGTCTAGCTTGGGTACAAACATCCTGCCTTATATGGTGTTGTTTGTACCAAATCTAGACCCCAATGCATCCAGTTCATTGAACTCAGAAAAGGCCTATTATCAGTTGACCAGCCATTCTATTTAGCCCTGAGTACCTAGACTGTCTGGTCTACGTTCCTCTTCTATCAAAATACCTTACACCTTTGTCATCTCATTCCCTGGGAATTCCATTCTCTCTGTGGAAGGTAGGGATTAGCTTTTTTTGCAGACACTGTTTGCTTTTCCCTTACATCAGCTTAGAGTAACTTCTGCTTTTGGGTTCCTTTTGTTAACACATGGAATTAACACAGGGAACCCAAAGTGAAGGTTTCCAGAAGAGGCTTCTAAATATGGATATCATTGCAGTCCTGTTCCAAATGTTTTTTTTTAGGTAAGCTTACTAGTCCTCATTGTGTTTTGTAACAAAATCTGAATGAGAAAAACTCAAACTAATATTTACAGTTCTTCACATTCAATCATATTTTGATTCATACAAACTACGTACAAATGTTTCTAAAAAATGGATCAACTTTACATAACATATTTTGAAACTTGAGATTTAAGAGTGACTGTCTGTAACGATCAAGCAAAATTCAAAATCCGTGGCAAACTTCGAAAAATCGATTTCGCTCATACTTTCAAGTTAGTTAGGGTAATGTATCCTAAGAATCGCTGTATAGTTGGTTTGATCAAATAACGCTTTATTATGGAGAAAAATGGAATTT